TCATGCTGATCTCGCTGTGTGATCAGAGCTACTGGGGTCTAATTTTCACCATGTTTATGGAGCTTCTGGACTAAGGAAAACGGGAAGAAAGAGAAAAGGATATCTGTGCTGTGTCTGCCAACATGTACAAGGCTTTCATACCTCTCTAACTCGCCAGGCTAATTTGGAAGTAAATGGGGTGTGCGTGGCAAATCGTTTGACTTATTGCTCTTCTGTAACTTCATTATGGCATGTTGCTCGGGAGGAGCAACACTAAATCTTGATTCTCTCTGTAGATTTGAGACAGGGAGAGCCTTATGGTACCCGTTACCGGGACCGACACTACTACCGGGGTTACCATCCCAACCTGGTAGCTCCGTCCCCAGGGCAGGACAGGTAAGGGGCTGCAGCGGGAGGGCTGGGTCACCTGGCGGGCAGCTTTGTGGTCTCTCCGGTCACCATGGCTCCGCTGTCTGCTGTGATAAAGTGGGCGAGCAGCCGGGAGACGTGGGGAAGCGCCACAGTGTAGTCTGCGGCTGGTCCCAAGACCTTGGTCAGCTCCTTCCTTTTCTTCCCTTCGGCAGGTCGGAGCCTGGTGACTCATTCGAGGAGAGCCACTGCTCGGGCTCCCGGCGGGAGTGGGCAGGGGAAGACTCCTTCGGTGGCTCTGCCGGGGAGGGCATCAGCCAGGCTCGCAAGGTAATCTCGCCTGGGGCAGGGCATGGAGGAGGGCACGCCGGGTCCTCCCAGGGGCTTCCTAATGCCCTGGGAATTCTTATCGTGGGTTATTAGTATTTATAAAATCTCCATCTGTGAGGCTGTCGTTCCCCCAGACATCTGGCTGCATCTCCTGCACAGTGCCGAGCAGTGGGCAGAAAGCCTGGCTTGGTGGGTTGCTTTTCTCCCTGTCAAGTGACATCTGCTGCTTTTCTCTTCCCCATGCCATGTCCTCCTTGCCACCTTGTCACCTCTATCCAAAGGAAGGGAAAATGGCTGCTGTGTGACAATGTCCTCCTCATTCACACTTGATCCAGAGATCAAATCAGAGCTGCTCTCTGGGTGGTTTTGCTCTTAGGCAATGCTTTCGGTAATTCCTATGTGCAGGCTATGTTGGGGAGCTTGCATTAGAGCTAGGAAAGCTATTGGGTTGGGTCTGCGGCTAATTGTTTTAAGACCCATTCGTATGACCAGGATATGTACTGTGATGAGCCTGAGATGCTCGAATGGTTCAGATGGGGATAGCTGGTGCTGTGCTGTGGTGTATGCTGTTCAGGTCCTGCTGGGCAGCTGCCTCACTAGGTAAGGGCAGATGGACCATTTGGGCCTGTTTCCCTGAAATGAAACATTTTCTCCCTTCCTCCTCGTGCGAGCCCTTTGTCCCCGTGCCTCCTGTGGCTCCCCTTTCCCCACAGCCTCCCGCCTCCGGTGAGCCCAGCCTGCTCCTGCAGTACCGTGAGTCGGGGCTCAGCTCCAGCAGCTACGAGCTCAGCCAGTACATCTGCGACAGCACCGACTGCTATGACCCTACGCCTGCGGCAGCTTGGAGCCCGGTGCAAGCAGGCGAGATGAGATGGGGCCCTGGCCCAAAGCATTAATGGGGGCCCGAGTAAATGGCCAGTATCTCCTGGCCCTGAGATTTACTATCCCACCACTCAGCCAGCTGCAGCCATTCTAGCTTATGGGTCTCGGAGGGCAGGCACCCTTTCTTTGAGAAGGGTGTGTGGGTGCAAGGCATGATCGAGGACCTGGTGCACGGTTGGGTGGCTCTACCTGGTCTGCTGGGTGCAAGGAGGTGCCATGCATCTGCCATCTGCTTTAGAGACTGTCCTTGCATGGACAGTCCCAGGCAGTGGAGGGCTGTGTAGGCGCAGGGCAGGCTGAGACCTGAGTCATGTTGTCTGCAGCAGAGGTGGTGTGGGGCCAGGGTAAGAGGACTCACTGTGCCCTGTTCCTCTGTCATGCAGGGAGGGCTTCAGCATCCACCCCAGCCCCGGTGGCACCCCAGAAGTTCCCGTTGCCGCACGTGCCGGTGTGCTTTGGAGCTGGAGGGCAGCTGGTGCTGGCGTGCCCCCACTTCCCTGGGGAGGGGCAGCCAGCCCATGTGGAGCTGCACAGCTTGGAGGTACACCACAGCCACTGAAATGGACCCTTCTGCCTCAGGGGATGCATGCGTCATTTGTTGCCCAAACAACTTCCCTAACTACCTTCCTATCTCCCACTACCATCTCCCCTCCAGCCCTTGTGGCTTCTCCAGTCTGTGTCGTACCAGTCCCCCCTGGCCATTGCTTTCAGCCATCACATACCCTGTGCCCCACTCCTACAACTCTGCGATCCTCAGGTGTTGCCTGTAATGTGTTCACACCAAACCCCTTGAAGTGAAGATGAATGCTGGTCTGTACCTCACTGAAGGACAAATCTGCTCACCTTTCTGAAGTGCTCAGATACACAGGCCGTATCCATATCCAGAGCAGGCAAAAGTCAGCCGCAGCATTTGCCTCTATCCTATTCTGCCTCCCCAAGGAGGCAGATGCCATCTCAAGACGCATTTCTTTCTTGGACCATATCACTGGAGTTTTTGTGGTGTTTTAGTGCCTATGCTCTGTGGTTACTTTAAGATGGCATGGAGAAAGGTTTCACTAGTGCCATTAAACCCTTTGCCAAGGCACTGTAACTTTCTGCCAGTTCAGCCAGGCCCTAGCCTAATTGCTGAAGGAGTCCAGCTGCTGAGTTTGTTCTTGCTTTTTAGGTGATCCTTCGTGACACAAAAGAGCAGGAGGAGCTGCAAGCCTTCCCAGGGCCTCTGGCCAGGTACAACTCCCCCATGGGACCCACGATTTGTTCCCTCTCTGGAGTGCAGGTGCTACCTGGGCTGTGGTCCGGGGCAGCTGACTGAGGAGGGCCAAGAGAGGAGCCCAGGACGGACCTCAGATTCCTCTTTTGGAGTCCCTGTAGTTTTGGGAGATAAGGATGTGTGCAAAGGCTAGACATGGGTTCATATCAGGAGCCTGCCTCCTTTCCTGAGGTATGGCTTGTTTTGGAGTGTAGAGGGTTTTTTATCTTTATTTTTGTGGGGTATGTGAAGAATATTATACTAGTTATACCACTACAATATACTGGTTATCCCAGTAAACCATATGAGTGACTTGTGGTCACTCATAACCAAAGCAGAGAGAAAGAAAAGTAGTATATAGAAGAAGGAAAACTGCACTCAGCAAAAGATCTGAACAAGCCCAGAAGCTGGGCAGAAATCTGAGGAGCTGGAGGTTAGCAGTTCTGCCAAAGGGAACTTTGCGAACGTTAGAGTCCAGATACTGTGTTGGTGTGATTGAGTCAAGATCACTATTTCGCTCCCCGCTCCCTTTCTGCCTGCTACTCTTCCTTTTGTCCCACAGCCAACCTTTCTTTCCAGTTGGCTAACTTCTTATTGCAAGGTGCAGAGCAGTTGTGCCCAGTCTGCACACAGCTTACAGGTTTCTGCTTCAGACCAGAAGGGCTTATGTGGTCACAGACATGTCATTCTCCCTGCACTGTAAATAGCTCTGCTGCTAAACAAAACTGAGGTTCTTCGCAGATGGATGGATGAAAATATTGTCAGGAGGACAGAGAAAGGATTTGACGTGCCTTCTACATCCTTGAAACATGGATAGCTGCAGAAAGTCATAATAACGTCCAGCCTTGTTAAGCATTTTTGAATTGGATGTGATCAATGTAGTATGTGGTCACTGACATACACTGACCACATGTCCATGTGGTCTTTGAGGATCTTCCCTCCTCCATCTTTTCTCTGACTCTTTGGGGTCCTTGTCAGCAAACCTGGGAACTCTTGGATTCTTAAGGGTGTCCAAGCCTGTATTTGCTTGGGTTTCTTTTGATCCCTTTCTTTACTGCTGCAGGGAAGATCTGCACAAGGTGGATGTGATGACATTTTGCCAGCACAAGATAGCCACAAGCTGTGATCTCTCAACACAGAGAGGCAGAGATTCAGCCCTTCTCTGGAAACTCCTGGTCCTCCTCTGCCGGCAGAATGGGGTAGGTGCTCAGTGGAAGGGGCTGACCCTTTTAATCTTTGGAGTCAGGTCAGCTATGTGCAACTTCTATGCCTCTTGAGCCAGCTGCTATTTTGGGGGAGTGTTTTTTAAATGTATCCCATTCCCACAGTGCTATCAACCACTCTGGTACTGCCCAGAGCTTTTAAAGAAAAATGTTGCTTTTCATCCTTGTGAGATACCAACATCCCAGTGGAATAGCAGCTCTGAAAGGGATTGGTGCCACCTTCATTTCGGAGCCAGTACTTATGCCTAAAAGGAGATTAATCTCTTAATCCAATGAAACCTACCCGATCTAATCTGTAACCACTTGTCAGAAGCGAGTGGATAATATCTTCAGTCTGGGTGGTGCTGACTCCTTTGCCCTCAAATGCTGCATGCTGGTGACTGAGGCTAGTCCTGCTGGGGAGACTTGTTAGGACAAGGATAAGAGCTCGTGATCTCCCTGCCCAGGAGCAGTTTGAGCAGGAGCGGATGGGGGCTGTCCTAATGGCAGATGTCATCACCTGAGGCCGAGTGTTGGACTAGAAGTGCTGTCGGTTATTGCTCAAAGGGCAGCCTCCATGTGCTTCGTTCCTCCCCTTCCCTGTTGCAGTCCATGGTGGGCTCAGACACAGCTGAGCTTTTGATGCAAGACTGCAGGCGCCTGGAGAAGTACAAGAGGCAAAACCCTGTGGCTAATCTGATCAACTTGTCAGACGATGAATGGCAGGCACATGGGCCGAGGACAGTGGATCTCCTTACGGGGGAGGTTCCTCCCATTGTGGAAACATTGGCACAGACAGTGGAGAAGTTCACCAAACTCCTCTACTATGGCAGAAAGAAAGTAAGTGGCGAGTGGGATCTACAAGATAGGGATGACTCCAAGTCCCTGTGGCCCCTTTAGCAAGGTTTTAAAAGGAAGGGAAGTTAAGTGCCTTGTGCGTTTGTGGGATCAACCCTTTATGGTATGTTTGTACAACAGGATTTATCGCAAGTTTCTCACTTTTGGGAATTGGGATGGGGACCGAAGTGAAGATCAGATGCAGTTGTGGTGGCCTTTTTGTTTTTGTTGTTGTTTTTGAGGGATTTGGGTAAACCCATGGTAGCCACCAGGGCTCCTCTGCAAGTCCCAAGCCTGCAAAGGGAAGAAGCAGAGATCCCAGAAAGAATCAGTTCATTCTTCACATGGCCCAGCCACATGGGGAGCTAAAGATGCCTCAGGGAAACCCTCCTTAGAAAGGGAAAGTCCAGCAGAAATAGGCTACAGAACCAGTCTAAGCTGGGTGCACAGATGTTCCCCTTGCAGTGGAGGAGGGCAGGGGAGTGAAGTTAGTACAAATGCCTTTCCCTCCCCATATTGGCTGCAGGAAGCTCTGGACTGGGCCATGAGAAACCAGCTGTGGGGCCATGCCCTCTTCCTCTCCAGCAAGATGGACCCTCGGACCTACAGCTGGGTGCTCACTGGGTAAGCTGGAGAGATGAAAGCAAGGTGTGATGCCTGGGAACCCTCTCTGTGACTGCTGTTGCTGAGCACATATCCTCTTGGGTGCCCTTGGCCCTGATGCGCTGCAAAAAGGGCACTAATTTCTGTCAGATCCTTCCAGTCTGGTGGTGTTTTTCCTCCTGGCCAGAGCAGGAGGGATCATCCATCTGGATGGATGGGCCTGAATCTTTTGGGCTTCCTGCCAGGCGGGAGGAAAGGAAGCGAAAGGAAAGCCATTCCCTGGAGTGGGGTGGATTTGCTCCAAAACCTCTGCTTCACTCTAGCTGCAGAGATCAGCAGGATCAGCAAAGCTAGCAGGTGGGGCAGGGGTCCAGCCTGCTTAGCCAGGAGCCAGCCTGGCCCGGGCTGGAGCACAGCACCTTGGCTGGAAAGATGATTCCCAGTGAATTGCCCATGCGACCATTTTTTTTGCTGGACTGAATATATTTAGTCTGAATTGAATCGATCCTCTCTGGGAGAGTTAAGCAGAAATTCTGTTTTGCAAATGAGTATCCTTTTAAGGAGGTATTATCTAGCATTATCCTTGAAACTTACCTGCTCTGGAGGTCACCAGCCTTGTGGGGTTTGCTTTCCGTTCTGCCTTGGCTTCAGTAGTGAGTTGAAGCCCTCGAGAGACTGCATTGCTGGGCATTTCTGAGACCGACTCAACCGCACTGATGGTGAACGTGGGTTTGGGCTCTCGCGCTGGGATCTCGACACAGGGACCATCTCTCTGCTGCCTCCTTGCAGGTTCATCAACACACTGGCCATCAATGACCCACTGCAAACCCTGTTCCAACTCATGTCGGGAAGGGTTCCCCAAGCAGCACAGGTATGTGAGTGAGAGCCTCAATCCCTCAGCAGTGCCCTCTGGGTCGCGACTGGGTGGGACACGCTCCTATCCTCCTGCTGCAATGCTGTTATACTTTCATGCTGTGAAACCTGTGTCACATGGTGCAAGAAAACCCCATGAGAAGGATGTTGTGGAGAACTGTGTGGCATGGAGGCCCTTTTAATGCAGACCAGGCAGCCCACGCTGTTGGGCTCAGCTCCTCTTTGTCTCCCTTCTTGTTTCCCTCCCAGTGCTGTGGGGATGCCAAGTGGGGAGACTGGAGGCCCCACCTGGCTGTGATGCTGTCCAACAAGGTTGGAGATGCAGAGCTGAACCACCGTGCCATCATCACCATGGGAGACACTTTGGGTGAGCCGAGGCCTCATTTGGAGGCTGACTCACAGCCTGCTGCAGCTGCTTCTGTGTGCTCCTTTCCAGAGGAGAGGACGTCATCCATTAGCTGCTCTCCTGGTGACACCTGGAGTGGCACAGGTGGCACATGTGACTGTGGGGATTGAGGCTTGCTCTGGGTGCCAGTTTTAGCACTAGTAGTAGAGACCCTCAGTGGGTTTCAGGCTGATGAAGCCATCCCAGAGAAGTGAAACTGGAGATGTACCCTGGTAGAGCTGCCCTGGTTCCAACAGTGAACCAGCCCCCTTTAAGCACAGAAAACAGCAATGACAAAAAAAGAACAACAACAACAACAAAGGGAGAAGGGGAGGTTTCGAGGTCTGAATGGGCAGAGAAGAAAAGGGACTATTTGGTTAGGCTGGGTTTTTTGGATTTTTTTCATGTAAGCTTGGTTGCCTTCAAAGCAACACTGGCTACATGGAAGTCTGTCTCTCAGGACTAGCCTTTCTTTTTTCTTCTTTCCTTCCCCATGCAGCTGGCAGGGGATTAACAGAAGCAGCTCATTTCTGCTACCTGATGGCAGATATTCCTTTCAGTTACTTTGGAGAGAAAGCAGACCGCATGGCTTTGCTGGGCAGCAGTCACTGGTGAGTAAACACAGACAGGCAGTGCCCTGTGGGTGTTTCCAGCTGTTTTTTCCATGTTGTCTCCTGCGTTCTCCCTATCCCTAAGATCTCAAATTGTTCTGCAAAATGGGCTGGCACCTTCCAAAAAGTCCATCTCTCCCAAACAAAAATCTTATGTGAGGAAGGAAATATCTCTCTACCCACTAATGTTTTGAATTCCAAGAAGTGCAGGGATACTGCAGGTTCTTTACTTTCTGCTGGTGCTCATTCATGCTCTGGCCTCACGGAGATGTCACGTTTCCCCTCTGGCAAGGGGAAAGTAAAATTCTGGCAAGTAAAATCATGGGATTGTACTGCTCTTGACCTGAGTTTTGCTCTGGACCTCTCCAGCTTGCTCCAGGTTGGCAGCGCAGAGGAGCAGCGGACCCACGCGTCAGGCTGTCTCAGAGGGAAACCTCTGCTCCGCTCCCTGAACTGCCCTCTTCCTTCTCCTTCACAGTCAGGCATTTGCCCAGTTTGCCAGGACGGAGGTTATCCAGCGCATGGAAATCTTTGAGTACTGCCAGCACCTACAACAGCCCAAAGCCTTCCTTCTCTCTTTCCAGGTTAGCGGAGACTCGCAAGCATGGCCAACAGCAGCTCAGACCTGCCTTAAAAAATCCCCATCAAATGCATCCCTCCAGGCTCCCTAAAGCTGAGTTGCAGGTGCTCCAGCTGGACTGGGGCTGTTCTCTGATGCCTTTTGAGGCTTCTTCCCTTGTTCTGATGCAAGAGCTGCTCTGCCCACTGGGCTCAGCGTGGGTTTCTCCGAGCTAGGGCTTTCAAATCCTCTTCTTGGCACAGCTCATGGGAGACTGAGCCGAGGCAGCTTGCAGGGCTTGGTGCCATCTGTGTTTGATCTGTGTTAGCCTGGGTCTAGCTCTCCTCCTGTTCTGTAATAGTCCTGGGTAATAGATAGGCTTTTCATATTGTAAATAAGCACCTAGCTGCCACTGCCTTGGGCACTGCACAAATTGGGTAGATAATTGAAAGTTGTGGCTGGAGTCCTCCCCTGCCACTGATCTGCTTGCACAGCTCGGGCCTGGCACCGAGGGGAGCGAGACGAGGCTGTCCAGGGATGAGGTGGTGGTGGGGGTGTCCCAAAGCACCAGTGACCTCTTGGAGGTAGGACCTGTGACCTGAGGTGTAGTTTCACTAAGGTGACCTGCTGCTGCTTGGTCCTAAGAGAGCTTAATGGGTGAGCTGCCCATGGGGCTTGCAAGCTGTACTCCTCGTGCTGTGACATGAGGGAATGGACCTCTCCTTGCTTGACTTCCCACCCTATGGCCCTTTTTCTTTCCTTCCCCGAGGTGTACAAGCTGATCTATGCCTCTCGCCTGGCAGACTATGGGCTGCCAGCCCAGGCCTTGCATTACTGCGAGAAGATTGCTGCCATGCTCCTGGGCCAGGGGCTGACCAGCCACCCTGTGCTGGCCAGACAAGTGATGGAGGTGAGTCTGGTGTTGTGCTGCCCTGTAGCCCCACGAGAGATATCCTATGGGTTTCCCTGGCCCTGGCTGGGGCACTGTCAGGGACCTGCTGAGGCTAGGATTTCACCCACGGGCTGCTAGAGAGGCTTGTACGCAACCTTGGTGGGGTGGTACCGATTTGTGACCTTCTAATGGGAGGTTTTTTCAGTTTTCCATGGGTGGAGGTGCTCAGTTCAGCTCTGGAAAGCAGTACCAAAGGTTTGCTGGCTGACGCGTATACAACCAGGTGAAGCCAAAACCTCCAAGATCTGTGCACAGCAGCTCTGTCGGGGCAGCATCTGCCTGAGCGAGAGCTGTGCTGGCCTCCGCAGGGCTGCGGAGAAAAGCAGCGATAGCTAGTTCCAATACATCAGCCTTTTGTGGTAGAAAAGAGGGGAATTATGCTGCTGGTCAAAAAGGCAAGAAGTGTCTGGAAGAAAAGGATTTTTTTTCCTGAATTTTTTTCTGAACTTATGGCACAGGTTTAAGAAGCTAAAACTATAAGAAGTTGCTTGACACTTCCTCCCCAGTACCTCATCCCAGGATGGCATTGGTCTGCCAGGGTGCTCTCTCAGGGAGACAATGAGTAAGAGTGTGTCCCAGATTTTTAGCATTGGCATTGATTTCTGTCCTCTCCTGGAGCTGGGCAGTGCCGAGGCTGTTCAAAGCCAGCTGCTGCTGGCAACAGAGCAGAAGCTGCGCCGGCCGGTGGTGCCCTGGAATGGAGAAGCAGGGAGGAAGGAGGAACGCTGCGGAGACGCTTGCCTGGAACGGGCTGCAAAAAATGCCCGATGGTCTGGCCTGAAACTCGGCGTTATGTAATGCTGTGCTGTGCTTGCAGCCCCCCCTTGCTCCTTTGTAGAAACCTATTTACTCTAACAGCCTCTCAGATCTGCAGTTCTGCTGGGGATAATGCCTCTCCTGGGAGAAAACACTTTCATCTGAAAAACTAGTGCATTGATAGACACTCTTGTCTTTGATGTTTTAGACTGTGTTACAAATTATGATACACATTAGTGTTTGATTAAGACTTCCCCTCTTCTGAAGCTGGGGATGATATACAACCAGGTGTTGGTTCATTAATATTGGATCAAAGTGCATATTAGCTTTTGGATTAAACATTCCCCCCATTTAGGAGTAATCATGCTTATAATTTCCTCTTTCCTGCCATTGATTTAGAATGAACACATGTGCGTTTCCAAAGAGATCTGACAGAGTCCATCAGATCGGAGTAGTGTAGCCTCCTGGCACCTGGCTCGATTGCTCCAGGAGAAGTGCTGTCTACTCATGTCAGCTGGCTCCTGTCGTGACTTGAGGACTGGTCATGCTGGTCTTGTCTCGCTGTAACCCCCTGGAGGTGGTGGATTGCGTTTTAGGCAGTTTTAGACAATCAGCTTTTAAACAATTTAAATAAGAAGAAATGTCCAATGTGGCAAATCCCAAGAGGTGGGCTGATATCAACCATGTGTTTTGGGTTAGTCATCTCCCCTCATGCCCACTGTCATAAAACTGGGCCCTAGTCTAAGCAATTTGGCCAGACTGTTGCTGCAGTGACTTGAGGGCAATGGCTTTCCAGGGAGCCATTCCTCCCACCTTAAGACAGATGGGATGGATTGCACCAAGAGTGCTTCTTCCTCTCAGTTTACTGTAGATTGAGCCCCATGTCTTTTAGATGGCTACAGTCGAGGATGCAGACCCTTCTCTTGCAGGAGAAATTAAACGCACAGAGGCAGTACCGCAGAGAAGGACCTAGGGGAGATAGTGGAACGTGGAAGCAATATAAAGCAGCAACATAACAGGATGCTATTTAAAAAAAAAAAAGTTATTCTGGGCTCAAAGAGGGAGAGTAGTGTGTGCGAGACAAGGAGGTGATAACCCCCTGTGTTTGGGCCTTGCGGGGTCTTGACTAGGGCACTGTGCCCCATTTGGGATGTTGCACTCTGAGACAGTGCTAAATTGGAAAAAGCGCAGAAGAAAGGAGCAAGAATGATGAGATTGAGGAAAGAATGACCTCTGAAGGCCTTGGGGTTATTTGCTCCATGAAAGATATCCTAGGGGAGGAAGGAGCTGGGGGAGGGGGGGGATATGATAAGTCTTCAACATGTAGAAGGCTCTTTTGAAAGGGGTTGTCGCCTGACCGTTCCCCACAGCTACTGAGGCACCAAAAAGCTTAATCTGCAGCAAAGATTTCACTTAGATATTAAGAAAAACTCTCTAGCTCTAAGGACACTAAGCATCAGGACAGCCCTGGGAGGCTGTGAAATCTTATCCATGGAGATTTGTAAGTACCGATTAGACAAACAACTGTAAGGGCTGGTGTGGGCATATGTGATATTTTTTGAGTAGGCAGATGGATCAGGTAATCTTAAAAGGTCCCTCCCACTCTTCTGTTATTTTCTGTCACTAATGATGATAATGCTTATTTTAAAGGCTTGAGCAAAGGCTGCTGGGGTAGCATGAAGGGGCCCTTTCTCTTTGCCGGGCTGGCAGGTATCTCTTTTCCCGGAGTGGTTCAGCCGCGGCAACGTAGCTCAGCCGTGTTGGGTAGCATCACTGTGCTAAAAGGCAGGGTGGCCCTGGGGGCTAGTGAGCAGCTTGGGTGCAGCCCCTGTCTTTCATGCTGAAAACCAGGCAAAGAAAGAGGGCTTGAGGACTCCAGCCTGAGCTCCAGCCCCTAGCCAAAAACCCATCAGCCTCTGTCCTTTGTGAGGCAGGTGCAGGACTGATGCACTGACCTAGGAGTCTAAGCTAGTTTTAGAGCTCTTGATGAGGTGTCATATTGATCATAGCCAGCTTTGGGCTGGCTAGCTGTCAAGTGGGAATAACAGCACTCATTTAACTTGCTTGGAGTATAAGAAGTTCATAAGTTTCCTGACTAGCTGATATAAAGAAGATAATGGTACTTTGGCAGAGCAGTCCTCTGAGATCCCCTGGTGGGAGGCTCTCTCTACAGCACAGAGGATGGGGAGGCCTGTTCTGTGGTTAGCATTTCTCAGCGGTCATGCAGGAGAGATAAGAAGTCTTGCATAAAAAGTGAGTGTTAGTCCTTTATCTGTATTACAAGGAAGTGCGGCTCTTGTGCTATTTTGCCTGTGGCCTGTGTTCCTGGCTGTGCACTGATTGCTGAGTGTTGAACTCCGGAGCAGAGATATTAAGTGAGTTAAGACCCTCGTTTCCTGCCTGCCTCTCCTTCAGCTAGCTGAGCGGCTGAAGCTCTCCGACCCACTGCTGCTGGAGATGCCGGATCAGGATCAGACCCTGGAGCCTGACTGGCTCGTACAGCTCCGGGCTCAGTGTCGGGAATGGGAGGTAAGGATGAGCGGAGAAGGGTCACTGCCTGCTCTGTACTCCAGCTGCTATGGGCTGGGGAGCTGTAATAGGGCTGGTCTCTGTTTTGTTTTGCAGGGATATCTTCCTCCTCTGTCCTAAATGAGAGGAGAGGTATCAAAGTTCAAAGGCCATATTTTTCACCTGGGCTCTTCAGAGCTGCTTTTCCCCTTGGTTCATGAGCAGGACACTGCAGCTCAGGGATGTGGTCTCTGTCAAGGGGCCTGCAGTTTCAGTGGGAGCAGGGAGAAGGCTGTAATGTCCTTGGGAATGAGCAGTGAGGGCTACAGAGCTTTGCGTGGGGTGAAAATCTCCCCTCCCTGTCTTGACTTGAGGAAAGCAGTAAGAGGGACCAGTCGGCAAATGGAGATCACTTGGTGTAAGGATGTTGTAGGGGACGTGGCCAGGGCATTGCCTTGTAGACATGTGCTTTGTTTCTTTACCTGTGCTAGGGAACTGATCTGGCCCTCAAATTGACACGTTTCATTCACGTTGCATGCCTGCTTTTGGTTTTGCCCTCTTTCTTTGTCTCTCTGGCTTCCTGTTCTGCCTGCTCTCAGCACAGCAGTGGTCACACTACAGTCTTGTTTGTCTTGCTGTGAATGAGCTGTAACTGCGCTGGTGCCAGTGGGACCTGCAGCTCTGCTTCTCGTGCTGCTCTTGGTTTTGAGGAGCCTGATCCATCCTGTGGGGTCTGTCCCGAGGATCCCAGACAGCCTGCCGCTTGCTCACTCTGTGCTCGGCAGGGGGTGAGGAGCTGGTGCTGATGTGGGGACTCCCCCTGTTACTTGGGTTCCTACAGCCAGTAGAGGAGTCCACTGGCATGCTGGCAGAGCTTGCCAGCATGCAGCTCTCCTTTACACTGGCTTTGCAGTTGCCTTAGTCTCTCTTGCCTTCCTGTGCTGTCCAGTTTTCCTTCTGTTTTGTCACCTTTGTCTTCTGACTCCTTGCAGATGGAAGAAGAGCTCCCTCCTGAGCTGGCATCAGGTGAACCAGAGCTTTCCAGGGCCAGTGGATCAGCCGCAGGTAAAGAAGTGAAGCAGTGCATCATATGTTCTCGTAAGGGGCTTCTCCACACACACACACAAACACACACACACACCATGTGCAGTTATATTGCCAACCAGCTGAGAGAGGTCAATCCCAAGCCTCGGTGCCTGTGATCAGCTTTTCAGAGCCAGCTGGTGTTTCTCAGCAGCTGTGCTCTGCCCCTTACGTCTCCCCAAAGCATGAGAATCAACACGCGTGGTATGATTCCTGCTAGGAAGTGTTCCTCCAGTGAGGAGGGCTGCCAGGGACAGGCTGCACACTGACCCCAGTGTCCTCTCCCAGGGCAGCTGGGAAGACCCAGGGCTGTGCCAGGAAGCCTTCTAGCAAGCTCTCGCACAGCCTGCACATCCTTTTTTCTCAAAAGCTTGGCTCTAGAGACTCCCCTCACCTCCCATTCCCTTAAGAAAAGCTGATATCACTCATTTGCTTCCTTCTGCTGGGCAAAGGGGAAGCAAACAAAGCTAGAGAAACCCAGTCTTGCTTGGTGGGGGGAGCTCAGTGACAGGGAATTGGCTGGTTCTCCTTCCTCTTTTCTCCTCTGCAAAACCCGTGTGTCCTGGAAGCCTGGTGAATACAAGGGCGATCAGCCAGGACGTGCAGAAGGTAGCAGGGGATGCTCAGTCCAGTTGGGCTCTTTCTCTCTCCATGGAGGAACAAAGTCTACTGGAATAATTGGGCCTAATTAATGCAGTTTCAGGAGTCTCTGTGGGCGCCATGGAAGAAAGGGGGGGTCACAGTGCTGGTCTGGCAGGCAGCCAGCTGGGCAAAGCTCATGTCTCCTCGCCAAGCCTCCAGCTCCAGAGAGCCTCAGAGGAGACAGCCTCATCCCTAGACGGTCCTCTGAGGACACAAATTGGAGCTGAACTAACAGGATTTTATACTTGCTCACAGAGTGAAAGATTCAGGAAAGAGCTTGTCCTTCTGCATGCCAGATTTCAGCATGCATATTGATTAAGCCCCAGCACTCCCCCCCCACACCCTATTCATCTCTTTGCTCTGCCTCTCTGAGACCCTGAGAGCCCCTTCTAGCACTGGGCCGGAAGATCACATCCTTTCCGTAGTCTTCAGGTGAGACCTCCAGATGAAAGAGGCAGGCATCCTTGGATGGCTTCAAGTTAGAGGCTGCGGAGAGCTTTCAGTTCCTATCTGGACGACAAATGAATTGGGCAGTCCTGTAGAGGAGAAATCAAGGATCCTGTGACTCATCAGCATTGCTTAATAGCCTCCTCTGCCAGTAGACTGGCCCTGGCACAGCCTTCTGCTCCTTGCTGCCTGCTCATACCCAGTTTTCTGGAGCTGTGCAGTGGAGAAGTGGAGGTAGGGATGGCAGCGCTGATGGGTGGAGAATGAAGGCTGATGCAGAAAGGATAAAACATGACAAACTTCTCCAAGCCATTTCTTCCTATCAGCTTTCTCTAATGCTGCCCAATTCCTCTTCAAGGAGCTCTCCCAGGCAGTAAAAAATATCATCAATCCTGATTGCCTTCTGCTGCTGTCAGGGCTGAGCACTGAAACTACAGTTATCCTTCTTGTCTGAAAAAAATCACGTGTGTGATGGAAATGCTTCTTAGGCCAGGATTGCTCCAGGTGTACTCATTTACCAGCAGCTCACCTGCTTTCCTTGAATGGTGCTTTCATACATTGAGAAGGCTGTTCAGAGTCACCAGCCACACTGGGTGTTGACTTTTAATCTCTCATCTGAGACTTGCGTGCAGGGAAAACTGGCTTGAGGCTGAGTTCATCCATCTCAGAAAGACAAAACCTGAATCAACTTTGCTTGGACCCCTGGGATTAACCCCTAGTGGCCCTGCTCCAGGGCTGACCACTCTCTTACAAATTCAGTCTGGGGAGGTCAGTGGGGAACCTGAAAAGGGTCCTGCTGATGACCAAGATGGGACCAATGCAGTCATGGGAATGTCCCTCTCCATCCTCACAGTCCTTCAAGCAATAGGTTTTCTCCCTGGCTTTCCCCAGCATCTGTATGTGCTTACTGGATGAACTTGTCAGGCAGGGTGGAGACAAGTGGCAGCAGCTCCAGGAGTCAGGCAGCTCTGTCCATCTTCGTCCTTGCAGAATCTCACTGACGCTGCAAAGACATCCCCAAGACTTTATGGGAGTGCTTTACAGATGAAAGAGCCGCAGCTGAAGCTAACCCTCATCAGGATAGAAGTGATGCTAGCAGGCAAAGCTAAGGTATTTGTAGCATCCTGTTCAAAAGGCCCCACCGTCTATCCCCAGGCCAACTTAGACCTGCAAGGTCTGGATCCTGGCTGACGGCTTCTGTTGGCAGCAGGATTGAAACTTATCTGTGCAGAGCATGTTTCTGTCTTGAAGGCCAACCCCAGAGCTGGAACAAGCAGTCAATAGGAACCAGAACACACACCTTGGTGCCTCCCTCCCTGGGACAGACAGCAGTGTGCTGCATTGTGTCTAATGCCAGATAGAGCAACAACTGCATCTGCTAAATAAAATAAACTCTTGCCACTTACTCAACCTGCCTTTCAAACAAAAAAAAGGAACAAATCCGCCTAAAGTAAGAAATTCAACAGTGTGCGTTCCTGTGGAGCAGGAACGAACGCTAGAGCTTAACAGATGCACCTCAGAATCAGAATTTTGTTTGCTGCACAGGGCAGGGGGTAGGAGTGAAAGAAAAAGCTGGAGGCCCTGGGATCCTTTGAACTGCTAGGCACATGTTACTTTCTCTTTTTGGTCTCTTTGCTTCTATAACACTCCCATTCTGAGTTCTTGTTTGCAACCTCAGGCATGTTCCCGAGAGATTTTTCCCCATCTTTCACAACCCACCTTCCTTGAAGCATCTAAAAGATCCTCGCTATTACGCTGTGCCCTACCTCGTTCCTTACCCACGCATGTTCCACTGGGATTTCTCCTCACCATCTCTCACAACCTCCTATTGATGTATAATGGAAAAAGAGAATTCTATGCAACAGTGCAATGAAATTGTAAATACTGGAGTAAATTCCTGAGGTATGTTTTCCAGATGAAGAATTTGGCCATGAGTTTACCCAGAGCAAGGGCTACCAGCACGACCAGTGGCACCAGCAGGGCACCCCCCTGTCACTGCAGGGAACAAGCTCCCGGGAGGACTGGTCTCACCAACCCTTGGCACCTTCTCCAGCAGCAGCATCTAATCAGGTCATAACGTCGCTGCCGCTTGGTGTCCAGCCGGAGCACCAGACAGCAGCACTCAGCCCGGGGACAACTGTCTTTGCAGGCGGAGTTTGCTATGACTGTTCTCTGCAGGTGATCTGGCCGCCAGGTAAGCATGCTGGCAAAGTGCATATTCGGTTCAAATCAGCCTGCCTGGAGTGTTCCTATAAGGGTAGGGCTAGGTAGATGTTGCGCTACGCTTTGGGCTTCTTTTGCATTCATAGGAGTAAATGAGCTGGAGATAGGTCTGAAAAACACTTTTTTATTTACAGAAGAGCCTGTACCCAGTTCATAACAATTGCGTGGGATCTCCCCTGGGGAAGTGTCTGTGACTATCTGTGAGGAGTCCTTGCATATCTGGTCTCCTGAGGCGTATGCATCATTTTGAACAACACTCTCTACTGGCGCTGACTTCACCTCAGTGCCTTGTTTCCCTGAAAAAAAGCACTCCAGCAGTGTCTCAAACTTGGAATCATGTTTATCCAGATGCCTTCTGTACACAAACACTTCCCACCAGGATTAGCCACCCTGGAAAGTTGATTCTTAATTTTTACAAGATCTTGCCTAAAGCAGCAAGGGATAGCAAACTCTAAGGTTGCCTGGTGGCTGCACTGCTTCCCTGCTAGATGGGAAGAGGAGCTTCAAATTCAACAGCACAAACCAGTTTTTAGTCTGAGAGATACCGGTGCAACCTTCTGGCTTACTCCCTTCTTGCTGCCAAGTATAAGGAATAGAGGAAAGAAGTGTCTCCTGGTGTTTAGTGACTTTGGTCTCATTATGGAAAAGCAGCAGATTGCTGGTCTGGTTGTTCCTGGGAACTGGAGTGGTTTCTGGCCGTACATCCAGCTTCCCGCAGAGCATGTCAGCATGTGCCTAAATTGATCTGGCCTCTAATGCAAGCTGAAGCATCGTGCAGCAGAGAAGCCAGCTGAGTTGCTGCCTGGATTCTGCAATGATGGCAACATTATAAATACTTCCAGTAGATGCAAAAATTCTTACCTGTGGGAAAGTTTGAATCGCAGCTGTGAATCCTGACTGTGCTCTTCTTTCTGCTCCTTAGGAGATGCCAGGGAGTCCCAAGGCCCCCTGCTGCCCCGTGGGGTTCAGCACTGTGCTCTTCTTTCTGCTCCTTAGGAGATGCCAGGGAGTCCCAAGGCCCCCTGCTGCCCCGTGGTGTTCAGCAGACCACAGCAGCAGAGCAGGTGAGATGGAGAAGGATGCAGATGGCTCACTCAGAGAGGTCAGATAGACCATATTGCTTAGTGGCCTGGGCAGACCTGGAGGACTCACTGATTTATCTCCTTCCATGTGCTTAACTTGCATGAAACCCCATGTCACAATGCCATCTGTTCCCTCATGGAGACCTGATGTGATACGGTAGCTCTCTCAGATCCTTCCACCTCTTTCTTCCCAGCTCAGTGGGGCACCTGCCAGCCCCAGGTTGCCCACTGCACCCTGCTACAGGTCCCTGCTCTGCAGCCTCATGCACTGGGGCCCAGCTGCTGGCTAAGGGGTCCTAGTGGAGTGGTTCCTCAGGTTGGTGCTGGTTGTGCCCACCTGTGATAGTTAACCTCACCTAATTCTCCATGCTGGACCCTGGCACCCCTGGACTCCAGACGTCCTGTAAAGGAAACTGTTTCTTGATATTGTCTCTCAAGAGAGAGTTTGTTTCCAAAGGGCCGTGTTGTGGACGGGTTTCTGCCCTCTTGCTGCGGCCATAGGTGAGTTGAGGCTGGCAGGCTCAGCCTGGTGTTACTTACATTTCCTTGGAACTGTATAGCAGAATTTTTCTGTGTTTTCACATGTCTTTAATGGGACTGAGGATCCCCCTGATGGCCAGACATCTCTGAGTGAACACTTAGACTGGCCCAGCCAGCCTCTGTGCTAACCCTTCCCTGTCTGCTGCATCTGGATATAATAGTTCCCTAGGGATGTTATCCATTGAGCCTGAATTGGAGGAGTCCCTGGGCCACTCTAATGATGCTCACTGCAGATGCTCCATGAATGTTGAGGCATCATAACTAGCTTTATGATGGCCCTACTCTCCTGGTTGTAGATCTGCTTGATGCAGGTCTACAGGAGAGAACAGGACCTACAAGAGAAGTCTGGCAGGAAAGAAACTGGGCTTAAGCCTTTCCAGAGAGCTCAGGTCCTGAAGGGAACTGGCCTGCGTTAGCTTGACTGCCACGGCCTCTCTGGATGACTCCTCACCGTTGCTTGTAAATCCCCATCTGCCTGGTTTCCTTGTCTGCTTCTTCATGATAGTTATAGCTCTTATCTCTGACACCAGCATGAGTTGAATGCAAGGGCCCGAACAGTCTCGGAGAGCTCTTCCATCTCCCTGGAAGATGACACTCAGCCTTCCTTGGAAAGTGTGGCCGAGGATGTCACTGAAGAGCAGTCATCGACAGAGGAGGAGAAGCCAGATGAAGTTAAGGTGAGAACTCTGCAGTTGATATAAAGACTAGTGCTCCTAGCTTGTCCCGAATCCTCCTCTGTCCCGGGCCTGCCCCCTGTAACCACCGGATGTTGTCCCTGACTGCCGTTGTCTAGCTGTGCCCCATGCAAAATGGTGTGCCAGCTCCCGAGGTGCTGTGGTTGTGCTTGGCTTAGTGGGACTCCTCCTGGCCCCTGCTGCACTGCTTCCCTGCTCTGGGTGCCCTTTCCTTGGTGGTGCAGGGAACGATCAACGAGATCCCCTGTCCTTGCTCTGAGCCCAGCAGTGCGGGAGGGTGCTTGCTCTCCTCTCCATCCTGCCTGGGGCTCAGGAGGCAGGAGCGAGGCTGGGTGCCAGGCCCTCGTGGGCTGTGGTATCTTTAATTTATCACTGATTTTCTACTGCTTTCCGTTTGACTGTGAAAACCTGTATTTCCCAGAGCTCGGGATTCAGATGGTTTGGCTGGTTTCGGTCAAAGCTCCCCAAGGAAGCCTCTTCCAAAGCCAAGTCCGACATGCTGGGATCTCAGGTAACAAGACAACTAGTGAAGGCTATCCCGTCCCAGGGTGACACCCTAGAGGACACCTAAGAAAATGAGTACTGCAACTCTGCCTTCACCTGCTATTTCTTCCCTCCCTTCTCCTTACACACATGACTCAGCTGTGCCCATTGGACAGATTTTCACTTCTGTAGCATGCCTGCTCTGTGCGGCTCTGCGCAGGGATGAATTGACAGGTGGACTGGGAGCCCTTTTAGCCTGGAAGTGAATTCTTTATTAATAATAATTGTATATTTATAAAGCATCTTTGATCTGGAAGGTTCTCAAAGTGTTCGGCAAACTCTGCAGGGATCGCTTGCCCTCCACTGAAGTGGAAAGCAGCAGCTGTTAGCAGCAAATGGCAATGCTCCAGTAGTTTTTAGGAGTTAAGTGAAGAATAACTTCTTTAATTGGAAACGCAGCAGAGATGGGGGAGCAGCTGCATGCAATTACCCCCCCCCATCCTGGCCATGTCCTCTTTGGGACATGCAGATATGCGCACTCCATCTCTCTGCGACCAGGGCTGTTGGTCTGGAGGCAAGAAGGTCCTGGCGCAATCTCTACCGAGACAGTCGTCTTGTCATTCAGAATGACCTATGGTCCCATAGCAGGAGATTCTGGAACGTTCTTTCCATAACAGCAGGAGACAAGGAATTGAGGGCTACAGCTAGACCAGGTGGCCCTTTGTGCCGCATTAGGACAACAGGCTTGATATCCAGCCTCCTACCTACTTTTGAGCTCCTCAAGTATTTTAAGTTTGCAATGTGGCTGTAGCTGTGGGATGGCTTGCCCTGACCAGCTGTGCTATATATACCCTGAGCTTGGGCGTGTGCAGCTCTTGTTACCTCGGACAGGGATCGTCAGCAGGATTGAGACAGACTGTGGCTGCCCCAAAATAGATACTTCACTGTTCTCCACTGTGGAGCCATTCCCTTTCCACCATGCATGGCCCTTTTGCTCTAAACCAGTGGATGCGGTTCCCTCCTCAGGAACGATCTTCGCCATCCCCCCCTGCTTCTCCTCTTCCAGTGGCTGGGACAAGCCCTTCAGCTGAGCCTCCTGAGGGCCCATCTCCTACTGCTCCCAGCTCTTCCTCCAGAAACCCAGGTAAATGTGGCAAAGTCTGCCTCTCTCCTATTCACACTTGGCCTTTTAGAAGCTGCTCCTTTGTAGTTTAAGGGTTGCGCGCGCCAGAAGGAATGAAGCATGATGCCGATATCTTTGTTGTCACCCCAGTGTCTACTGAAATGAAAGGCTTGTGGGGCATGGACAGCTGGGAACTGGCAGCTGTTCCTGAGGCTGGAGATCAGGTGAGGAGAGGAGGGTGGTTTATTTGTGTGTGTGTGTGCACGTGTGTCTGGTTTGGGGTGTCTATGCCTTTTTTTGCCCTCTTTTCTTAGAGCAAAGTCCTAAGCAGTGATGCTCCTTTGTCTCCACGATGCCTTCAAACCTGTATGCTTATTCTATCCAAATCTGCCAATGGGACAAAGGTCTTAACGTTGCTGTGTTTGTACAAAATTCATGAATATAGGCAGCGGGTAGAGGAGAGCGACCACCCTATTGCCTTATTTGTGCCTTATTGTGAACTTAACGGTGTTAACAGACACGAAAATATCCGCACAGCCTAACCTTGGGGGAAAAAGCACCTTGATCGCTGTTTGCTGCTTTTTATCCCTCAGAGGATCCATGCCAAGGTGCCTGGTCCCGGGTTCGCTTCCCTCTGCCCGATCAAGGGGAGGACAGGAGATGTCCCTGCTGATGTTATTTGGGTGGAGAGCCCTTAAGGTGTGGGACAGAGCAGTCTGTGTGGGGAGTCCAGGAGCCCCCTGTGCCCCGAAACCGGGGGCGGCCGCTCAGTTTCTCTCCATCTGCTGTTCCAGGAGGGCTCCCACGAACCTCCGCAGGGCCCCGGCCGCCACCCCCCGGTGGGGGCAGTCCCCCTCTTCAACCCTGTCCAGGTCTCTCAGGTGAGCACATCCTCCCAGGCCACTGCTGGAGGGGGGG